GTACGCTATGATAACATTCACCCAAATCCTTTTTCCTTATGATACTCACCACCTTGGCAACATCACAATTTTTTTTTTTTGTATTTTCAAGCTTCACACGCCCATGAAAAGATATACAAATAAAAATAGATGTACCATGAAATAGCACATGTTCATGCTTATGAACTCTTTTGTTTTAAGCTCTAAAGTTCTTGGCTGTATTAGGAAGTTTTTTTCAGTGAAGACTTACTATACCTATCGAAAATGCATTTTAACTTGACACTTCATGCATGACTGTCTTGTTTTGTGAAAATCTTTTTTGTTATTAATGAATGATGAGATTAGTCACATTATCTTCTCTTGTTTGACATATCTGGAAACAATTGATAACGCAATGAGATTTTGTTCGCTTAAATGCTTGAAGCGCAAACAAAGTGTGAGCTAAAACTACTTGAAGTGCACATATCATAAAAAACATTACTAGTGTTATGATATTCAGTAACCTTTAGTCATAATTATAAAACGATCTATACTATCTTAAGTCAAATATTAATAAAAATAATGATTTTCAATTGTTAATCAAACTAAAAGTTAAGTTCAATAGATGTTTTATGCTCATCTTTAACAAGAATCACTAGGAATGGTTAAACAAGCATTTTTTAAAAAGGATCAAAATGATTTCCGACTATTTGTGATGGGTCAATTTCAGTCTTATACTATATAAAGATTATCTAGTCATTGAGTACTTAAATTAGGATACAAAATTACCCCGTCGTTAAAATAAATGAAAATTGAACTTAAAAGCTAATGAATGGTGTTGAAATGAGGGAAATTTAGGAATTTATATCTTGAAACTGTTACGAAATCCAATGAACTTTATTTTTTCTTTAACTTTGGGATTTTTTTTTGTAATTTTCAATGACAATTGCTAAAATTTATAAATTTAATATGTCTTAATTTCATCACAAAACATCTAAACTTAAGAGATTCTGGACATGTTACCTATTGAATATATCTTACACATGGTATGAAGAACATTAAAATTTGAAAAACAAAAAGTTAAGAATTAAATTCTTATAATGCCTTCATTTTAAACCTATTCATTAATTTTAATATCAAATTTTGTTACTTTTAACCGCAGTACCGTTTTTGGCTCCTAGTTTAAGACTTTCGGACTAATTCAGACCTTTAATGTAGTTTGGAACTAAATGACTTCTTATGAATAGTTGTCTGATCATTTTGGTTTTTTTCTCACTTCCAAAAAAAAGAAGAAGAACCAATAATATAAAGTGAAGTGAACAATGATTATCAAGATTTGAAATTGAGGGCTCGTCTATGGTTGAGGTCCCATTTTAGTTTTTTTTATCATTTTAAAAAAAATAAAAGAAGAAGAATAAAAAATCTAAATTGAAGTGAAAAATGATTATCAAGGTTTTGAAATTGAGAGATCATATACATTTGTGGTCATTTACATCATGTGACCTTGCCCACATTTCCTTATTTTTGTTGTGTTTTGGTTCCTTTTCATGTGTCTTCTGGCTCTTAATGTGCTATGTTTGGTCAAAAATGTGGTGTAAGCTGCATGGCAACTCAATTGTGATGTGGTGGAGGAGATTTAAGAGCAATGTAAGATATTTTTAG